ATGCTTTTTTAATCGCTCATCTCTCTGCTTTGCTTTATCAAACCATCATCACATCCACTTCCTTCTCTGTCCCAAAAATGTGTTGATTTTTTGAACCGTTGGATCTATTCCGGTGAAAGGTTTGTGCGAGAGAAATGGGAAGTTTATCTTCGGAGGAAGACGAAGAAGGCTCTTCCGAGAGATGCGGAAGTTACAGTCCTAGCGCCGACATTAGCGAGTCTGAGAGTTCGAGCAGCTTCTCGTGCCGCCGATTCGACGGCGAGGGAGCGTCAAGCTCCATTACATCGTCGCCACGAGCTGGTGGGAGAGGGTTTTACTTCCCGGCGCCGGTTATGCTTCCGGTGATCGGTGGGAAAGATGTCGTTTGGGATGACAAGTCTGAGAAACAGGAGAGCGAGTTTTCCGGTAATACATTCCTTCAAGTCTCTTCCTTGCAAAGGACTCTTTTAGGTTTTAGTAATTTTGATTGTTGCTAAATTAGTAGCTAAAATTTCATTTTTTTAAAGTAATTTTGGATTTTTGTTTGCAATGGGGATAGAAATTGAGATGATGAAGGAGAGATTTGCTAAGTTACTTCTCGGAGAAGACATGTCAGGAGGAGGTAAAGGGGTTTGTACGGCGCTTGCAATCTCCAACGCCATAACCAATCTCTCTGGTAAACAATTCTTCTTCATAAATCTCTGAGATCTCAAGTTTTGTTTTTTAGATAGGGTTTCTCGTTTTCCTTGTAATGATGATCAAGTGTCCACTGGAATTACAGCGACTGTGTTTGGCGAGCTATGGAGGCTTGAGCCTCTTGCTCCGCAGAAGAAGGCCATGTGGCGTAGAGAATTGGAATGGTTACTCTGTGTAAGCGATTCTATTGTTGAGCTTATTCCTTCCATTCAGCAGTTCCCTGGAGGCGGAACATATGAGATCATGGAGACTCGGCCTCGTTCTGATCTGTATGCGAATCTCCCTGCTCTCAAGAAGCTCGATGCAATGTTGATTGATATGCTTGATGGTTTCTCTGATACCGAGTTCTGGTATACTGATCGAGGGATAGTTCTAGGAGAATGTGAAAAGGATTCCTACAATTCTCCAGCTTCTGGTGGCCGGCCATCCGTTAGGCAGGAAGAGAAGTGGTGGCTCCCATGCCCTAAGGTTCCGTCTAACGGTTTATCAGAAGAGACAAGGAAGAAATTGCAGCAGTGTCGGGACTTTGCTAACCAGATTCTCAAGGCTGCATTGGCAATTAACAGCGGTGTGCTCGCGGAAATGGAGATACCCAACCCTTACTTGGAGACATTGCCCAAGGTATGCAGCTTTTCTCACTTTTTTTTCTCCTGTGTCTTGAGCTGGAGGTATGAGTTTTACCATGCTATTGAGCTCTCCGTTAGCTTCTTAGTTGCACTACCAGCTCATTGAGGTCTGGTTTTTAACTTGCTGCAGAGCGGGAAGGAATGTCTTGGAGAGATCATCTACCAATACTTAACTGCGAACAAGTTCTCACCAGAATGTCTCCTAGACTGTCTTGATCTCTCATCGGAACATCAGACTCTTGAAATCGCCAACCGGATTGAGGCTGCCGTGCACGTTTGGAGACAGAAGAATGGGAGGAGGCACAAGAAGCAGGCGAAACTAAAGCTGTCTTCATGGGGTGGCAAGGTTAAAGGCCTTGTAAACGACACCGACAGAAATGATTTCCTTGTGCAGCGAGCTGAGACCCTCTTGCAGAGTTTGAGGATCCGTTTCCCAGGTCTTCCCCAGACAACGCTGGATATGAACAAGATCCAGTACAACAAGGTAGAATGAGTAGTAAGTAGTGTGGTTTGCTGGTAAATCAAATGATGCTTACATGGCTTCTTGAGTTTGTTGTTTTGCAGGATGTAGGACAATCGATTCTGGAAAGTTACTCGAGGGTGATGGAGAGCATGGCCTTCAACATCACGGCCAGAATAGATGATGTGCTTTATGTTGATGATGCCATGAGAAGATCTGTCTCTGCCACGGAATCTCTTTCACTATTCAGCATCAGTGGACTCAACGGGCGGCCTGCTCAGAAACCGTTCTCTGTACAAAGCTCACCCTACGCTTCCCCATTTGCAACGCCTTCCCTAAGTGTAGCATCAAGGAGCCCGAGAAGAGCACCACCGCTGTATTCTGTGAAAAGGAATGGCACAAGAGAGAAGGCGGTTTTGGGTGAATCGGAGAAAGCATGGTCCTACGCTGGAAATCTAAGTTCAAGAAGAGTATCGGAAGTGACGCCGGAAAGAGATTAATAAGATTGAGGATTGGAAGAATGTAAATCAATGGTGGTTAGACGTAGTTGTTTGTTGTGAAGTTTATTTTGTCTGACTACAATATGAGTATGGTAATAGCAAAACAATGTTATGTAATGTTGAGTTTGGACTTGTTAACAGAAGAAAACACCAAAGTCCTAAGCATACGAAGTGTACTAGACAGATTCAAGTCAGTTCCTGAAACTCAACCTCTTCTTATTAAGTCATGAATCTCATCCTAGACTGGAGCAAATACTCCACTTGTTAATGGCGTCTATCAAAGCGACACCGTTTTCGCTGTTCAATTTAGTATAATTTGTAAAGTTTTATACTTGCAATTTCCCTTCATTTTTTTCTTCCCCTTTCTCTTCTTAATAATCTTTATTCATTCAGTGACACCGTCAAAGATCATCAGAAATTGGGTTTGAGAGTAGAAGGGAGGGTTTTAGAGATGGAGCCGGAGCAAAGTAGCGATCCCAAACAGAAACAGCCCAAGGTTAAGGTCTTCGCGACGGCTTCAAGCCTTGTCGGGAGCATCGTGGAGAAAGGTATATCCGAGAATAAGCCTCCAAGCAAGCCGCTTCCGCCCAGACCCACCCTTCTTTCCTTCCCTGTCGCTCGTCATCGTTCTCACGGACCCGTAAGTTTAATCCCACTAGGGCTTTTAGGTTTTGCAATTTCCATCTTCTTGTAGCATTGGATTCTGGCTACTCTGGATTAAAGGGCTTCTTCGATTCTCATACAAGTTCCACATTGAGTGTTGTTGTTTCCTTGTAGTTCAGTTTTCTGATTATGCTGTTTGAGCGTTACAAGTCTTTGATATTTGATTTGATTTTGTAGCATTGGTCTCCTGCGCGGAGCAGAGCACAACCTAAGGATTCTAATGTCGAGGAGGGGGATGACAAAGACGAAGAAGAACGATTCATCAATGCAGAATCCTTTGCTGCTTTTGCTAAACCGCTTCAAAGAAAGGAGAAGAAATATATGGAGCCCAGGAGAGCTAACAAGGTTACAATGATACCGTCTTCTGTTGCTTCAGCTGCTGATGCGGCCACTACTCCCATGGACGTGGATTATGGGAACATTTTACTGGCTAAAAATAGTAAATCACTATCCGGATTTTCTACAACACGCTTTGATGTGCCATCAGACCGAAGAGAGATTGGTTCTGACGAAGCAACGTTTATAAAAAACAGCTCTCCTCCCCTACCTGTTGCTTTCTCCAGTACGAATGGATTCAGAACTAGACAGCCATCTTCATCTCTTGAGAGTGAAATTGATGTAGAGAACCATGCACGGTTACAGACAATGTCACCGGAGGAGATTGCAGAGGCACAAGCTGAGTTATTTGAGAAGATGGATCCTGCATTACTGAACATTTTGAAGAAACGAGGCCAGGACAAAGCAAAGAAGCGAAAGCATTCAGTGCCGGGGGTTTCCAATGCCAACGAGGAAACAAAGAATAAAAAAACCGAGGGTCATTTCTTCAGGCCTGATATTCATTCGCGACATGGACAGGCTGTTACTCCATCTGCCTCTGAAGCCGTAACAATACCAAAAGAAAGAAGTGCGTTGCAAAATCCAGTGTTAGCCCAAGGCTTCTTGTGGGATGCATGGACTGAGAGGGTAGAGTCAGCCAGAGACTTGAGATTTTCTTTTGAAGGAAATGTCATTGAAGTTGATGTTGTCCCGGCAGCTGAAACTGGTGAGTATAACAATACAACTGAAACTGATGACAGTCATAAGGTTCTTACACATTGAATTTACAGGTGAAAAGTGGTCTGTCGATGGATCTGCTGTTGAACGTGACTTTTTGAGAACTGAAGGGGACCCCGGGGCAGCAGGGTACACAATTAAAGAAGCTATTGCACTCGCACGAAGTGTGGTATGATTGCCGCAGATTTTAGTTCTGATGATAAAGAATGTTTAAATTCTTTTTGCTTCCATTTTGGCTTAAGCTGAAGAAATTTGTAGGCTGGGATCCGCGGTTTTTCTCTATCATCGCCCATTGATTTTGTATGTATGATCTGTCAGATTCCGGGGCAAAGATGCCTTGCTTTGCAACTGCTTGCATCTGTACTCGACAAAGCTTTGTCCAAACTTTGTCAGAGCAGAATCGGCTACACAAGAGAAGAAAAAGATAAATCCACTGATTGGGAAGCCATCTGGGCTTATGCTCTTGGACCAGAACCTGAGCTTGTCTTAGCACTGAGGTAATATTCTGATGGGTGTAATGTGAGACGTATTTGTGATCATATTTTTTCGTTCTTATCAACATAAGTTTCTTGTCTTCTAAGGATGGCGCTTGATGACAACCATACCTCTGTTGTTCTAGCATGTGTTAAAGTGGTTCAGTGCTTACTGAGCTGTTCTCTTAATGAGAACTTCTTTGATATTTTGGAGGTATAGTTGAAATTTCTCATTCCAAAGAAGTTATAGTCCTCATAGATCTTGTTACTATGTGTTCAAACTTATAAAATCTATTTCTGCTTCCAGAACATGGGACCACACGAAAAGGACATCTTCACAGCCCCTGTGTTCAGGAGTAAGCCGGAGATTGATCTTGGCTTCCTCCGTGGTTGCTACTGGAAGTACAGCGCTAAACCCTCCAATATTGTTCCTTTCCGTCAAGAAACCATGGATGACGGGACAGAAGATACGGAAACTATCCAGAAAGATGTTTTTGTAGCTGGGCAAGATGTTGCTGCGGGTCTCGTTAGAATGGATATCCTTCCAAGAATTTATCACCTTCTGGAGGTGAGATCACTATTTATAGCTTTGTATCTGTGTGTAACTCAGCAAGGAATATCATTCTCGTTGTGTTGCTTAACCCGGTGGCTTAGGTTTCGGGTGTGTTTTGTATGTTCATGATTTCAGACAGAACCAACAGCAGTGCTCCAGGACAGCCTAATTTCTGTTACTATTGCGATAGCAAGACATTCTCCAAAATGCACAAATGCAATCTTGAAGTATCCCAAATTTGTGCAAGCAATTGTGAAAATTTTCAAGTACAACACAAGAGTGGACGTTCGTCCTTCTCAGATTAATTCTGTTCGCCTTTTAAAGGTAATACTGGGTAGCTTGTACAAAATTATCTTGGGGTCCTTTTGTGCATTGGTCCGTGATGTTATTTGACAAAACCTGATGATGCAAGTCTGCTAAGCTATCAATCCTCAGAGCTATGATAACCTTCGTTTTTCTTTTCTCTCTATTTAATTTCACTAAGGTGTTGGCCCGGTATGACAAAAGCACTTGCATGGACTTTGTGAAGAACGGGACATTCAATGCGGCCACATGGCATTTGTTTCAGTTCACCTCCTCTCTTGAGTCATGGGTGAAATTAGAGAAGCAACATTGCAAGCTTTCATCTGATTTGATGGTTGAACAACTTCGGTTTTGGAAGGTCTGTATCCAAAGTGGCTGTTGCATATCTCGCTTCCCAGAGCTATTCCCAGCTCTGTGTCTGTGGTTGAGTTGCCCATCATTTGAAAGGCTCAAGGAGAAAAATCTCATTTGCGAGTTTACTTCTGTGTCAAAGGAGGCTTACCTGGTCCTTGAGGCTTTTGCCGGAACACTTCCTAGTATGTACTCACAAAACATTCCAAGGAACGAGTCGGGGGCTTGGGACTGGAGTTATGTTAGCCCTATGATTGATATAGCACTGAGCTGGATAACATTGGCCCCCCAATTACTTGAGTGGGAGAGAGGAATCGAAAGTGTCTCTGTGTCCACTACTTCTCTATTGTGGTTGTATTCGGGTGTCATGCGTACAATCTCCAAATTCCTTGAGAAAATCTCTGCCCATGGAGAGGAAGAACCTCTGCCATGGCTGCCGGAGTTTGTTCCAAAGATTGGCCTTGCCATCATCAAGCACAAGCTTCTTAGTTCCGTTGCAGACGAAAGTAGGTGTGGAAAAGATTCTTCCAGGTGTTCCTCCTTTATGGAATTTTTGTGTTTTCTCAGAGAACAATCTCAAGATGAAGAACTAGCGTTAGCTTCTGTGAGTTGCCTTCATGGGTTAACACGGACTATTGTGTCGATCCAGACTCTGATACAGTCTGCTAGATCTAAGATGAGCACTCCTCCTCAGGGAAGCGTTTCCACTAGAGATGAATCTGTGCTTGCAAAAGGAATACTGACAGAGTCTCTCGCTGACATAACATCTGTGTGGAGATCTTTTAGAGACACCGTTGCATCAGAATGGCCCATCATGCAATCCGTTGAGGTACATAAACGAGGCGGACTAGCTCCTGGAGTGGGACTTGGTTGGGGAGCTAGCAGTGGTGGGTTTTGGTCAACCAGAGTTCTGTTGGCACAAGCTGATGCCGGTCTTCTGAATCTCTTTCTTAGCATCTCTCAAATGGACTCGCTGAATGGTCAGGGATCAGTTTACTTGATGGATAAAATGAACTCTGCTTTAGCTATGTGCTTGATTGCAGGTCCAAGGGATCATTTACTTGTGGAAAAAGCCTTCAACCATGTCCTTGGACCGCATGCTTTAGAACACCTGGCCTGCTGTATCAAGTCAAACAAGCGAACCGTGACGTTTGAATGGAAATGTAGTGAATGGGATTATCATCGTATGAGCAATGTGCTCGCTTCTCACTTCAGACTTAGATGGTTACACCCAAAGAGAAAATCTAAGGCCGAGAATGGAGTCAGTGGGGTTAGTAAAAGTGCAGTTGGTCTGGAGACAATTCATGAGGACGGTGAAATGCCAAATGGTTCAACTCAGGACCAAAAATCAGACTCCCTGGTCATAGAGTGGGCTCACCAGAGAATGCCCCTGCCTCCACACTGGTTTCTCAGCACCATCTCAGCAGTCCATGGCGGTAAAACCTCAGCAGGGCCACCAGAATCCACGGAGTTGCTTGAAATCGCAAAAGCCGGAGTTTTCTTTCTTGCAGGACTTGAGTCATCGTCTGGGTTGGGATCGCTTCCGTCTCCTGTTGTGAGTGTGCCGTTGGTTTGGAAGTTTCATGCTTTGTCCACCGTGTTGC